CGCTGTCAGCACACAGCCCCACGTGGGGCTCAATCTCATGAACCATGAGATCATGACCTGAGCCAAAATCAAGAGTTTGTTGCTAAACTGGCTGAACCACCCAGACACCCGCCCATTGGTCTTGTGGCAATTATTTGATATTCAACCCTCTCTGTCTTCTAGCACCCAACCTTGATTCTCCTCACCTTCAGGCAGCACTTGGGCTGATCCAGATTTCTTTCCTGGTAGGGCAGCCCAGATCTTCACTGACGGATCTACTTTATCCTAGTTGGGTCATGCTTCCTGTGGTTGCCTGTTCACCATCGTCATCAGGCATGGAAGCATCAAGAGATGCTTCAGGAAACTCCTAGTTTCTGGCTATGTGCCTGGGTTCCTCCATTGTGTAGCCGTAACGCTAGTACAAATTCTACCAATGGAAGAGCCAGCAGTGATGGTCTACCATTGCCTCCTGATTTTCTCTCTGCTATCTCTAAGATTTCCTTCCTTCTATTCACTTTGCATTAACTTTCTGTTTATTTTCTTCCTTTGTGAGATGGGATGATGTATCGTTGATTTTAAATCTTTTCTTCTCTTAAATTAGAAGATCTAAGCATTTAAAGCTAAGCATTTTCCTCTAAGCACTGCTTTGCTGGATCCCATATATTTTCATATGTGGTGTTTTCAATACTGATCACCTTGAAATGTCTTTCAATTTCTCACATAACTTTTTTCTTATTTGGCACATGTTATATAGAAGTATGGTGCCTGATTTCTCAGTATCTGTAACTTGTAAAAGTAGCTTTTGGTTACTGATTTTAACTTAATCCTTCATTGTCAGATATACTCTATATTATTTTAGTTCTTTGAAATATTTTGAGTTTTGTTGCATGACCCAGTGGTCTATCCTGGTAAATGCCCTCACATGCATTTGGAAAGTACACAAGTACGGCAACTGTTGGGTATTAGAGTTCTGTGAATGTCGGTTAAGTCAGGCTGGTTGATGGTTTTATTCATGTTTTCAAATTCATACTGATTTGTTTTTCTCTACTTGT